GGCGTCATGTGTTTTGTCAACAACCAGAGAGCAAAAGCCTTGTCCTATAAACTAGATGGCAAGAGAAGGAAGTTAAAAAAGCCCACTGCAGAGCCACTTTTGGTGCCAAGTATTGCAGGTTGGGCTCCCTGGGAAGCCGGCTCTAACGGGAATTCACGGAGACCAGGGACTGCCAGCAGTGCGAAGAAAGGAAGCGCCCAGGCAGCGGGAGAATATGGCTCTGCAGTCTCAAAGGCAGCCTCAGCTGATCCACTGGGGAACTCTGAAGCTAGGATGGGCTTTCGGATTGTCCCATTGGCTAGGACTAGCTGCAGACAGACTGTAGGCTGCCTCAGAAAGGAAGCATCTGTCCAGTTAAAGGGATTATGAGAATCCTTGACAGGGAGCACTCCCCTGTCAAGGTGAGTGCTGGATCCCTGGCACCAAAGAGGAACCTGAAGTGGCCTGTCTCAGGCCTCTGACAGCACAAGAGTGGTTCTTCATTAAATGTGAGCTGCGGCAACACTGCATCTCTAAATATTGTTATAGTGCCTGGTACCTCAATGCTCAATAATTCATTATATTAGTATTATCAACATATTGGGCAACTGCTATCTTCACCATTTATCTGCCTCTAACTGGAGGCCTATCATGTGTTAGAACCGATGCCATCAAGTTGACTATGGAATAGCTATCTGATCAAGAAACTAATCTGTTTAATTATTTAAGAGCCTTAACTGAGGGGTTAATGAAATGGCATTAGAGAATACCTGATGAACCTAGAAAACCCAGCCTAACAAGGTGACATATGAATACTAAGAGTGCACATTTTCTTGGCGCTAGAAGCAGGAAAAGCAGAGGCAGCTAGAAGAGCTTGGTTTCTGGATCCCTTATCCTCAGAGCTTATCAGTTTACAATACATTTCAACTACCTGCAACAAAACTGTTATTTTTCCACGGCTTAAGCACATCCTCTTCTTCCAGTGCCTTATAAAATTTTATCCCAGTATATCTTCTTTATAACTGATACTTTGCAGCTGAGAGAGAATGCATGAGACAGTGAGACAGTAAGACACACACACACACACACACACACACGCAGGCACAAACGGGGAGATGATATATCCTTGAAGGCCACACTCGATGGCCTACTTTTTCCAATTAGGTCTTCCTTACAAAGTTCCCATCATCTGCCAATATCCCATTAAATTATGAACCCATTAACAGATAAATCCATCAGTGAGGTCAGTGCCCTCATGATTCAAACACTCTCTAAAAGCCTGCCTCTAGATATTGCTACACTGGGGACTAAGCCTTCAACACATATGCCTTTGGGAACATTCCAGATGCGCACCATAACGAAAGTTACACACAAGAATGGGCCACAGTCAGGTCAGTAGCTCTTTAATAAAATGAACAGGTCCCCATTATAACAAGAACTCTTTATTACATGGTTTTGAATACACAGCAGGCCAATCATGTTTCCTGAAATTTAACAGTCACATTCAATAAGAGCTGGTTAATGTTGTCCCTTGACACTGTAATCCTAAAGGACTTCCTTCAAATTCCCTTTACAAAGCCTTGTGCAAGAGTTTAAGCACCAGGAAGACTGTTGCTAGCAGTACTTTTGTTCCCATCATTATCATCCTCTATGTGCCTGGCTCTGTAGACTGGGTGCTACACAGTGCCTTGTGATACAAAGTTTATAAATACATTATACCAATACAAAGTTGAAGCCATTAAAAAGAGCTTAGTAACAACTACCAGGAGATAATTAAATTTGGAGTGTTGATGAACTGGGAGAGATCTGGAAAAAACTCACATTACAGTAGAAGTTTTACTTGGGAAGGAATGACAGGAGAACTCTTTAAAGTGCTACTGAAGGATTTTCTAAGGTGCCCCAACTTTACTTCCTTTCTGCAATTATCTTCAAATACTGCAGAGCATTGTGAGCTGCGTCACTCTGTGCATTGCCACAGGAGATACCCGAGCCGTGACAGACTGTGATAGGACTGGTTGACAGTTCGGCGAGACACTGATACTGCCCATTGGCACTGAGTTCTTCTGTAATGACACATGCAAACGTGGTGATTAATGCCAAGTGTATATAAGGCAGGTCCTTCATAAAAACCATCATTTTCGTCACTTGCTTTCAGCATCAGGGTACACTACTCCACTCACCATCACCTTCAGTGTGCTTATACAAACAAAGCCATTCAACTGCTCAGCTGTACCAGCTCCCTAACACTGAGCTTCACAACCACTTGAGGGGACTTGAAAGAAACACAGGTGTCTAAGTATCACTCAATGGAAATGCAAGAGCTGGGAATGAAGGTGGTTGCTTCCTGCATTTGAAAGAAACTCCCAGGGCTGCTGTAATATGACTAGGCGGACAGTGTTTGCAAATTCCTGAACCACACCAACTTTCTTTAAAGGGAAAGAACTATTTGCTATTGGATCCCATCAAGTATACTTTTTAAACAGGAAATAACCTTGCTGGGGTTTTGGTGCCTGCATGTTCTTAGATCTCAAGTCTGCGCAGAGAGGCTCGAGTTATAGTGGTTTGAAAACAATGTAAAGCTGCGACACAAGTGTTCTTCTCATCAACAAATGAGTCACTCTGCGAAAGGTGATGAAATGACTCAAGGCAAAGAAGTAAAATTTAAGTATGAACTATGACTTTTTAAAATGATCATAATTAAGTATTATTATTTCAGCTAGTCAGGTTAGTAGAAAATAACCAGACACAATGGGGTTATTTAATGAGTGAACAGGCTTTACAGTTCTGACATCTAGGTTCTTTTTAGTTAACTACAGTGGAATTCACATAATACACATTTACAATGTTGCACAACTATGACTTCTGTCTATCTCCAAAATATTCCATCCCTTTGAGAAAACACCCTTTTCCATTAAAGAGTTACTCTTCATCTTTCTGTCTGTCTTTCTTTCTTTTTTTTGAGACAGGGTCTCCCTATGTAGTACAGGCTGGCCTGCCCTAAAATCACTATGTAGCCCAGACTGGCTTCAAACTCACAGCGATCCTTCTGCCTCAGCCTCACAAGAGCTAGGGTTACAGGCGCGTATCACCATCCCTGGCTTCTTCATTTCCTTTTCTCCTTCCTCTGCAACCACCAATCTGTCTTCTGTCTCTGCGGATTAATTAATCTTTTCTAGACATTTCATATAAATGGAAGTCTAATATGTAGTATTTTGAGTTTGGTTTCTTTCACTTAATATGCTCTACAGGGTCATTTGCATTGCAGTAGTACTGTATATATTAGAAGTTTATTCCCTTTATGGCTGAATAGAACTCTATTATACGTTACACATATGCTCTACTGTGTGTGTGTGTGTGTGTGTGTGTGTGTGTGTGTGCACGCACACGCGTGCGCATGTGAATATGTTACTGAGGACTGAACCTAGGGTCTTTGCATTGAGCTGTGTCTCCACCTCTTTTTAAATTGTTTGAGACATGATCCTACTAAGTCATTAAGTTGCTCAGAATGGGCTCAAACTTTTGATCCTCCTGGCTCAGCCTCCCTGAGTGCTGGGAGTACTGCCACTGCCCCTGGCCACCACAATTTGTTTATCTGATGATACTCATTGTTTATGGAACTCTGCACTGTTTCCACCTTCCGGCCCTTGTGAAAAGTGCGGTCATGAGCACACTGGTATTTGTTAAACATGTTTTCTATTCTTTCGGGTATACACCCAGGAATGAAGCTATGAAGTCAAACAGTAATTAACTTCATGAAATGAAAAACCTTTTTTTCTATGGCGACCCACACTTACATCAAATCAGGACAGCATAAGGCTCTACTCTCTCTCCATCTTCATGTACTGTTTTCCATTGTTTTGAGTACAGCCATCCATTGTTTTGAGAACAGCCATCCTAGCAGTATGAAGTGGTACCTTGCTGAGCTGCACTTCCCTATTAATGATGCTGAACATTTTTTCATGCACTTCTTTGAAGGCAGTTGCACAGAAGCTAGTCAAAAGCTAATTCTCTATTATCTTGTTGTTTTTGTTTTGGGACAGAGCCTCACCACGTAGTTTAGCTTGGACTTGAACTCATGTCTGGCCTTGCACTTTCAGCAATCCTCCTGCCTCATCCTCTCAAGTGCTGGGATTACAGGCATATGCCACCATACCCAGCTAGTTCTCGATTTAGAAGAACTAATTAGTTCTTAGAACAGGTAAAAGCATTTAAGCATCATTAATTCGTAATCTAAGAATTCATTTCAGGTTTTTTCTTTTCCCAGACTTTCCTTAGTCCTTATCATGATATAACTCATGCATCTCTGCATCCAAACCCTTAACAAACCAGACACTGATAAATATTTACTGAACAAATGGATTCTGATTAGCTACCTTTCCTGACCATTTATATGCATTGACTTTTAATGTTCTTCATTCTCTGTTCATCAAGACACTGTATTCGACCCATCATTCAATCCCAATATCGCAGTTTCTCAGCCCCTAAACCACCGATGGCGAACCTGTGGCACACTTGCGCAAGTGGGCTGTTTGTATCATTGAACACTCTAAAATGTTTGCCATTTCTGCCCTAAACACGCTACTGTAACTCTGTGCCAGTGCCAGTAACTCTGACACTGAAGGTTCCCATGTCTGACTGAGGTTGGAACAGGGATATGAAATTCCTCACATGACATATAGCCATTAAATCAAAACATCAAACATATTCATGTACATGCACACACACAAATTTAATGAACTTTATAAAGTGAACTCAAAGAAAATCCATTGACAGATGGGAAAATAAATCAATAGATTTTCTTTGAGTTCACTTTATAAAGTTCATTAAATTTGTGTGTGTGCTTGCTGTTACCCACAAGAATGGAACATATCAATTACATACACATCTGTTACTGCTCTGGCAATTATACATAGGTAGCATCCTTGATCAATGAAGTCAAGTATAATAGAAATTTTTGTTTCTCAAACACACTGTAAAAAAGAAATGCACAGTGGGATAAGCCAAACAGGACAAAGTCATACCTATATCCAAGTATGTTATGTTAAAGCCTTGTTCCTTGGCAATTTCACTAAGCAGCTGGATGTAGTCTGTATTTGGAATACTAAGGAGGCTTCTTTTCAGTAAGTTGATCTTTTCACCAGGAGAATTCCTCAAGGAATGCCAAGTGCATCCTAAGGAATGCCCTACTACATTCGTCTGGAAAAAGAGAGGAGGGTTCAGACTCTTAACTAGGATTATGTTCCGACACTAATACCAATATAATTAGAAGTATAAAGTAAGCACTCACATTTACTACTTCATAATGCACATTTAAACGGGTATCATTTGGTTATTTTCCCAATTTAAAGGATAGTGGTAGAAAGCACATGCATCTAAACACCATGAAGTGAAAAACAATAAATACATTGTATTTAAAAATACTTTTGTATAAGAAACACTAGAATTGGACATTATCGAAGCCTTTAATGCATTATTTCACCTTTGGAGGTGACACCTTTGGAGACCTAGGATCAGGGAAAAAAAACTCAAAACCAAGTTTTTGTAGCGTAAAAAGTTCTCTCTCTTGAATTTTCTGATAGTCACATTAAAAGATGCAAATATCTGATAGCACTGTAAACCAACCTGGAACTAACTGAATCTGCCTAGTAGAACAGCTTACAGACTAACACGTAGAACAATTTTCATAACTTTACATTTTTTGTATTCAATACTAATCATTCTAACCTACAGTTGTAAAGCAGAAAATAACAACAAAACTATAAAAAGGTGAAATGCTCGAGTTGGGTTTGAGAGGAACAAGCTGCTCAGGTGAGTCTCATTTCCTTTTCTTTTCATCTTGGGTGTTAGAATACTTTACTTTTCCATTATTAGTTTGTGGTTTCAAATTGCTTTCATACACCATCAATAAATACAGTTACTTTCTTCAGAAAGTAGAGTAACCACCGTTAGTCTTATATCATTAATGAGCATGACACAAGAGAAAGGATTTTCAAAAGATCACTGAGATGATTATGATATAAAATTAAGTACTCGTTAAATTTACTAAATGAAAATTTATTTTCCTTGATTAGAATTTTAATTAATATATTTTGGGGGGGACCAAGAGTAGAGCACATGCTTAGCATGTACAAGGTCCTGGGTTCCATCCCCTAACACCAAAAAAACAAACAAAAATACCACAAAGCCCTCCAAACACGACAACTTATTTACATGGTAAAAAATGATAAAATGATATGTAATATGCACAAGTATTTAATGAAGAGTAAAATCTCTTATTTACTACCAATTTACTGAAAATCTCTATTCTGCTCCCGCACGGTACCTGCTGGTAATATGCCTTTCTATAGATGCTCTATGCATCTTAGCATATGTACATACATAATCTTTTAAAACAAAAACCAAAGTTTATTCTTCTACATCTTGTTCATTTTTCATATGAGCACATATTTGTTTTATCAGTCTCCAACTACAGGTTTTAGATTATTTCTGGCTTGTTGCTTTTACTAATATGCTGAAATAAACAATCCCTGGCACTTGGATGAGTTTCTCTAGAATTATCTCTAGGAGGAGAACTGTCCGGCCAAAGAAGACTTTTCATTTTGTTAAATACTTCCAAACTGAGTTCTGATCCAGTTTACACTCCCTCAACTGTCTTGGCGAGCACTTGTTTTCTTACACCTTCTCAACAGAAGTAGTATTTTGTAGTTTCACCAATCTAAAAGGTTATCTCACATGAAAGAAAACGAGCCCAACACTCTTGTTTTTTCTTTAGTAGTAAACACAGCATCTCCTTCAGCATGCTGTCCTTTTCACTGACGTAGAAGAGCACTGAACAGTTCCTGCATAGCCCTGTATTGAAGAGAATTTCTTCCCACACTGCTTTTATTTGCACACTTTTGATTGCATTTAGTCAAATTTATGAATTTTTTACTTTAAGCTACTCTTTAAGTTATGCTCAAAAAAAAAAAGTTTTCCTCATGCTATGGTTTTAAAAATGAAAGGTCTTCCATGTTTTCTAATACTTTTACAGGATTAATTCTTAAGTTTTTAATCTACGTGCAATTTGTTTTGGTGTAAGAACTAAGATAGTAACCCAAGTACATGTCTTATATACACAGACTGTGTATCACCTGCCTAGGGAGCTCCAAGCCTGGCTGTATCACCGTTTCCACATCATTACTGAATAATCCACCCTGTCATCTGCTGATCTGAAATCTCACCGTTAGGCACATACCATCTTCTATGCATTACACCTGTGCCTGGACTTGTCTTTCTGCCTCCAGTCTCGTGATATGCGTTATTCTTTGGTGGGATAGTACCTACCCATATTTTTCTTTTCCAGTATTCTTCGCTATTTCAAGAATTTATTGTTCCAGATATACTTAGTAAAGTTATTTCAAGGTCCAAAACAAATGCTGAAAAAATCTGAGTGAGACTATTTTACATTTTAAATATTTGTAATACTGAGTCTCCCTATCAAAAATATAGTGTCATATTTATTCAGTTTCTGCCCTCAGTAGATTTAAGATGTATCCTCCCATGGGTCTTCACATATTTAAGTTTATTCCCAGACATGGAATCTCCTTTTGCTACTACTGAAAATGGCTACTTTTATATTCCAGATCTTATTTATAAACAGGAAAACTACTGATTTGTTCTAGTACACATTTTCAGGATAGATTTCTATTTTTCTATTAAGTAGTTAGGATTTTACTAATCAAAGTGAACTGCACATAAAACAAAAAAAATCAAATACTACAAAAATATGAAAGCAACAATTTCCAGCCTCACCTCTCCCCACCAAGAAACAACAGTTTTGTTGTTATTGGTTTTTTGGTATCAGGAATTGAACTCAGGCCCTTGCACTAGACAAGCAGGCGCTTGTGTGGAAACAGTACTTTTTAACTATTTTTGATCATTTTGGCTGCTGACCTTATAACTCTAAATATACGACAAAGCTATTGATTTTGCATATTAATTTCATGATCAGTTACCTTGATGAATTCTGTTTCTAGAACATTTTCTCTAGGGTTTTGGAAGGACACAATTGTATTATTTCAGTTAAAAATCATTTTCTTTTGTTATTTCCAATTCTTATCACCTTCTCTTGTCTAATCATATGGGTTGGTAATTCTAGAACAAGGTCAAATACAAATAGTATTAGTAGGCATCTTTAGTCTTTTTTCTGGTCCCAATAAAAATAAGTGTAATGTTTAAACACGTAACCATGATTTTGATTTCTTTGAAAAAATTCTTTATCAGTAATAATTGCTAAGTTTTAGCAAGTAGCTTCTGGCATTCGCTGAGAGGATTACCTGTTTCTTCTTTGACTCACTAAAATGGTGACAGTAACAAACTAAAGTATCTTTGTATGCATGAAACAAATCCTTATGTATAGTATATTATTTTTTAATGTCACTAAATTAGTGTTCCACTTTAAGCAAGATTGACTCATTTTTTTTTTTTTTTTCTATTGGGGTTTGGTATGGTCAGGTTCCAGAGTGTTACACTGGTTTAGAAGAATAAATTTAGAAGCTTCCCTTAAAAAATAAATCAATATAGCCTGGATGAGTTTAAACAACAAGGGAGATGATCTTGTCCTAAGATTTGACAGAGACCACCTGTACACCTACCTATTTGTGCTTTGTGATCTTGGTGTTTTCTCTTGGTCCAGTTTTTTTTTAAACAGTGTATGTCATGTATTATATCTTTGTTTTCTAAAAAATCCAAAGTTATTTTTTTGTAAATGGTCTCTGATTTTTTTGTCTTACAAAATAAGTCATGACTTTGTCATAAGTTAAGGGCGACAGTTATAGAGAGACCTCTCATTTCCCACCCACATCCCTTTTTATCATGTACCATAAAGCATACCTATTTATATCAGAACCTCAACTTCTACATTATGTGGAGCCTCAGTAACTCCTCTTAGATATACCGTACTTCAGTCTCAGTGTGCCCTGTCCTCTTCCCCACATCTGTGATTATCACATTACTGACGGCGCCACCTTCTGCTGCCAATTAAAAATATTTACTTCCCCCCTTTTTTCTCCCCATATCCAATCATTACCATGTTCCTTTATTCCAGTTTTCTAACTTTTTTGTTTTTCTTTTTTGAGACAGGGTCTCACTTTATAATCCAGGCGGGCCTTGAATGTGGGGCGATCCTTCTGCCCTGGCCCCCTGAGTGCTGGGATTACAGGCGTGCACAATGACCGGCTTCTAAATGATTGTTAAATCTACCCATTCCTCTCCACTTCTGCACCTGGTTTAGGTCACTGTTTCTCATCTGCTTGTCCTCAGGGGATTCCAGCCGGTCTCTCCTCCTCATACGCATTTACTCCTCACAATCCAGCCAAATCGCTTCCTTTCCAACATACAATTTAATCCTGTCCACTCCAGATTAAAGTTCTTTAATGACACTGTAAAGCGCAATCTCCTTACTATAGCAAGGTTGTTGGGATGAGATCCCGTTCTGCCTTCCTGGCCCCAATGTCTGAGACCTCTTCCCCTCTAACCCTGCTCTGGACACACCAAATCATTTGGGTCCTGACTATAAGAAGCTTCAGTCCAGAGACTCTGCTCATGCCCTTCTTCTTCTCTGGGGTTCTTACTCCTCATCATCATCCTACACACTTCAGCTGACACCTTCCTGGACCCATTTTTGAAGGCCCAGGTCTTCTCTCTAATGTGCCCACGTCGCCTTCTGCCCTCTATGAAGAGCAGTCTTAGACTCCTTTCCCATCTCAGTAGGCTACAGACTCCTCGGCAGCAGATGCTGCTCACTCACTGAGTACCATGCCTGGCACGAACCTTGGTACAAGGTATGAGCTCACCAAATGACCAGTGTGGATAATGAATGAATGAAAAAAAGGGGTGGTGGTGGTGAGTTGTCACCTTGAGGGTAAAAATGGCATTAATGGCCTACTATTTTCATTTACTTATTCAGATGCTGGGGATTGAACCCAGGACCTTGTACATGCTAAGCATGTACTCTACTGCTGAGTTACACCCCAACCTGAACTATCATTTTAGATCTCATTCATTTCCTGAATTTACTGTTTCCCAAGCCCTCTTACTTGATCACTCTTATGGCTCTGGCTCACATATAGGAAGCAGCTGTAACTCGGACAGTATATAAATGAACAATAAAGAGATTTTTAAAAACTGCAACTCGTAAGTAGCTGTACAACAAGAAATCAAGGAAAGTTGCCTATAGCATCACATTAACATCATAACTGTCTGATCATTACTCACTAGAGAAATATGGTTCTCTGGAGAAATATTACTAAATTTGGCAAGAAATTTCTCAGCAGCATTTCTCTTGGCTTGTTTTTTTGATGCCCCCTTTCCTATACAAAGAAAAAGAAATGATAGATTTAAAAAATTAGTGTCTATGGAGGTGATCAACTGTGTAAGGCATTGTGTAAAAAGCTTTTGCCTTTTATTTTCTAGTCTGTATCTTTACCAACCTGCTATTTTTGTTGAACTTCATTTACATACTCAGCATAAATATCTACTTCTGTACTTTTGTTTTGTATATTTAAAAACTGAGGCCCAGGGAGACTAAGTAATTTGCTTTACCTCTGAAATCAAGAGCTACTGCAAGAACAGAGGCTGGGGTACCTGCTGGGAGCTTCTGTTCTGGCCCATGTGACCTCTCTAGAGAAAAGTTGCTCAAAAGTAGTATCTTGCTATGGTAAAATCCCATTTGAAGGAACATTAAAAAAAAGACATAAAAAACATGTCAGAGAAGTTAACACAAGAATTCTCTTTAGTACTTCTTTAACCATTTTTCCTCATAGTTTGCCTCTTAAAATACTGGAATTATAATTCTAAGACAATTACTATTCTATTCTCATTGCAATTGTTGCCATATAATCTCCTCTTAATCACTTCATTTTCAAATGGAGTCCTCCTCAACTCCTATTTACTAAACTATCTGTTGAAACTCCAAGAGATTTACTATTGCTTTTTCTCCAAATGAGTGGTATTTTAAAAGCCACTGGTATAACAGTAAGATTGTTAAGGTACGTAGCCATAATTTGACATTTTACCAGCAATCTACAATTTTTAAAGGCACAAAATTAAGACATATAAGTATTATTAAGCCAAATATTTATACTTAAGTTCAACCTTGCAAAGTTAGAAACAGTAGAAAAGGAGTATATCAATTTCCCCTCAGAAATGTTTGGAAAGGTATCAGAGTCTACAGCCATACCGCCCCGAATGCACCTGCTCTTGTCTGAAAAGATCTTACAAAAGTCATTTCTAAAGTCATTTGTCATCTGAAAATAATGCAAATGTTTTTAATTGTAAGAAGCAATAAGTACCAGTTTCCATAAATGACTCTAGCCTGCAGATGGTTGTGTATTCTCTCTTATGAGCTGGTCCTCCCTCCTGGGAAAGGGTATACTCTGGAAGTCTCCATCCATGATGAATAGCAAGTTCCTACAAAATTGAGATGAGGCTTTAATAAGTGACTTTAACAATGTAATGGCTCAATCACCTAGATGACATTCCTTCTTGACTTTGATTCCATTTTTAGTCCTATGTTTAAGAATGAAGGATTCTACAATAGAAAAGTTAGGGTGGATTCTGTATTGCCCATAGATATTATCGTTTTTCTATATCTTTATATCACAATGCCAAAACTGAAGCAGTGCTGCGTTATGAATGACATTCTTCCATTAAGCCAGAGTGAACTGGTATCTGAGTTCAATGGGAAAACGGGCCATCAATAGCTCTTGCTTACACCAGAAGAGACAATGCCTTCAATTCCAGATGGGAAGCACAGACAGCAAACAAAGAGACTTGGATAGGGTTACACACAGAGGTGAGGAAAACTATAGAAAAGCTCACAGAGCAGGAAGGACTGGCTGGGTAATCAGGAGAGGACTGGTCCAACAGAGCACAAAGGGAATCTGCAAGAAGAGATGCTGCGTGCAGGAATTCAAAGCTGAATACATATGTGTGTGTATATACACACATGCATATGTATGTTTGCTGTTTTCTGATAGAAATGGACTACTTCTCTGTTCTTGCGTTGTGTTACTCAATTTAGGCTCTTTATAGTCTTCTGTTTCAACAAGTAGAAAAAGGTTAAAGGCTTGTCACATGAGTGGCAAGAAACACTCTTAAGGTATAAAACACTACCCAGGTGTACCAAGGTCCGGCTCATTTCAAATGGGAGTTCCACAAACTAAATGCAGATACTATGTATGGAAGAAAATCCAAAAGATAAATAAACAGAAAACAAGTTAGTTCTGTAAATTCTAATGACCCTAATTTGGAAAACAAAGGATTTCACCTTATCTTTAAAATATTAATGGCTATCGCTCAGTGGCACAGTGCCTGCCTGTCAGGTACAAGGTTGTGAGTTTGATCCAGGCATCAAAAAAAACAAAGAGAAAGAGAGAGAGAGAAAGAAAAATATTAATGGCTTGTCTTAGTTGCTATATTATTTTTATGTCTTTTTAACAGTGGACAAAATGTTAAGTGTGGAAACACTGTTCAACTTACCTGTAATGAACCAATAGGATTAAGCTGGTTCTTTGGTTGTTTAGAAGGATCAGGCATTAAAGGGTCAGGAACTGCAAAGCTAAACATTTTTTTAAAACGTTATTACATGAAATAACTTCCCCAAATTACTGTAGACTTACTCGTTTATACTAAACTCTGATCATTCTTTCCATAAATAATCCCTTTTTTCCCAACTACTTCTAGTTGAAAATAGATTCCCTGGAAATCAGGGAATCTGATTTATCTGTCATCCAAAGTGTACCTCAAAAGTCACTTCCTCCAAGAAGCCCCCCCCTTCACTCCACTGAACCATTATAACATTTGGTTTGACTCCGAAAGGAAACTGACCATAAATTCTCCCTAACTGCTCTGTTAATTAGAATTCTCGATGGCAGCAGTATTATGGTAGCTCTCTATTACTTATTTACATTACCTTTGCAGTGTATTGATCATACCAAGTACTTAATAAAAATCTACTTAAAGTACACTACTATTATAACTGCATAAAAGGAAGACTACTAACCAGGAAATTTAGCCTGTCAACGTGGACAACACAATCACAAATATTTTTTTCATTCAGATAACTATGGAAGGCAGATTTATCTTTTCTATCATCTGCTCAAGGCTGGGATCATCCTGTAAGATTTGTATGAATGCTTCATGAAGTAGATAGCCAATATGAATCTGGTTTCAGCAAATGGGGCAAGAGAACAAAATCTTTTAGGTTGTTTGAAATTACTAGTCATTGGGAGACCAATGCCAAATGCAGAATGGGCAGTAAGCCAAGGTTACACTACCACCTAGGAAAGTGAAGAGACATCTCTTTCGTAACAAGTGAGTTCCAGCTATCACCACTTTAGTAAGTTTCTTTTCCATGGGCAAGAATTCAAGGCCGATGAGATATGAGTGTTCACTTACAATGCTACCTGCCAAAGCTACCCAAGTAATTGTGATGGAGAAGTGAGAAAGTCTCTGAATTAAATCAGGCCACATTAGGCCTGATTACAGCTTAGTAATTCCTACCTTATCCATAAAGAAGCACAAATATATAGTAACGTTTGTTAGCCTTTTTTTAACAGAAGTGCAGTGTCCACGTGAAGAAAGGACATTCTACACACTCATTTCTACAAAACTGCTTGACACTTTGGGTTACCTTTGGGCCTCACAAAAATGGCATGGCCATCATCACAGAGCTGTAACTCGAAAACTACTATGCCGTTTAACACCCTAAAAGCTAGCAGAAGTCAATTCAAATTTGTGACCCCAGAAAACAAGAATCATCTGTGAGGTCCAAGGCTTGTCTGAGACAAGTACTTACCTAGATGGCTGCTATGTTACTAGTTATTTCTAAACTACCCCCAAAGACTTAGAATGAATTAAAAGTGAGAGGAATACTGAATGAGAACATAAATATGCTCTTAATCCAAAAGTACAGCTATGGATGACTAAAAATTGCATCCTAAATTTTTTTGCTAGACAACACTCTAGTTTTCTCTCCACTGTACCCCATTAGAGACAGAAAGAGAAAAAAAAAGGCCTCGTTCATGATTGCCTGCATCTAATAGCTATCTGATGAATTTAAATGAATAAAGTCTAATGGATGACAGACTGTCAGAGAAAAAGAATTTTAGAGCTATGATGCTAGCAACTGTTCACTCTGTTGTAATTTTTAATCTTACCTCAGCCATGATAATTTTAAGCTGCAAAATACAAAGAAATTCAGCTCACCAAATACTTGCATTGGCTTTCAAAATGTTTATGGCAGCCTCTGCAGCTCTGTGTTTGGCCAGCTTCTTACTTGTACCTTCACCTACATTAGGATTTGAAAAGAAAGTCGTTACCTTCTGTGAAAATAAGTGGCACAGATGTTGTCAAAATATGAAATAAAGTCAGTAAAGGTTTTATATACATATGTAATAAAAGCAAATACTACATGCAGTTGTACAGTACACTGTAACAAAACATTCATCATGTAGAGTTAATACATTAAAACCACAGTTTAAAAAGTTTTGGTTTAAAGTCTATGTATACCTATATAAAAACCCTTTCTGCAAGATTTGTAACTATACTGTGTATGTCTATAATATAAAATGGTCATAAAATAACTCAGGCCACATGTCCTGAAGAAATGTACCTTAGCATTTTATTCCCTTATTCTGAGACAAGAAAGAAACTCTTCCACAGCAAAACATTTCCTTTAAATAAGCCACTTATGGCAGAATTGCTGTATAGCAAATTTTGCAAAAGTTTATTCTGCCAGCTGGATTGTATTCTGGATCAAACACTATGCCAGGTAAGCAGTTATGACTACATGTTGAGCATAGTGGGAGAGTCAGAAGGCAAGAGCTTACATGTTTTCTATACAGTCTGTGTTCCTCACTTGGTTAGACAGGAGGCGGTGGAGGGAAAGACTAAATTTCAGTAAATTTGGTCTAAATTTCAGTAAACAGTCACCTATGGTCAATGGTAAGTTGAATCCTTTTTCCTACTGAGTTCAAACCTTCGAACTCGAAAGTTTCAAGTGTGGCCCTAAGTGTCAGTGGACACACAAGTCATAATCTTTTATCTACTAAACAGATATTAAGGATATACTATAGAAGAAAACACAGCCCCTGCCCTCAGGGGCTGACAGCCTAGTGTGGGATTCTGTCTGGACCGAGTATCTGAAATACAGATACAAGCCTATGGAGTCTGCCCCAAACCAGCAGCTCTCCAGCTCCTGGTGCACATTCAGAAAGGATTCATGTAGGAAGAGATAACTAAAAGGACTCTTGAAAGACTAGTAAAAGCTAGTAAAGTGGAGAGATGAGGATTAGGAACAGCATTCTAGGTAGAGAAAAAAACACCACAAAGGCTCAAAGGCCACACCAACTATTAGTGCTTTCAAGGTCCCAAGTACTGAGTATGGCTAAATTGTAAACTGTGATAAAAAACCGGCAAGATGGGTGTTAGAGGAAGAAGCCAAAGAAAGGTATTATAAATCTGTGCTTTTCAAACCTTACTGTACATAGGAATTGTGGGGCAGTTTTGTTAAAACCTATTTGAATTTCATAGATCTGCATGGGCCTGATATTCTATATTTCAATCGAGCACCCAAATGGTTGCCCACTGGGCCAACTAACGTATGTTTTAAGCAAGATTGTAAGCCATATTTAAAATTTTGTATTTGATCATAGGGTGAGGGGGAAACCACTGAGTGTATTTTAAGAAGAGGAAAACAAATTCAAATGCGAGAACGAATATTTTCTCTATAGTCCAGTGCTGACCTGGGACTCAGTATGTAGTTCAGGATAGCCATGAGTTCATTATTCTCCTGCCTCAGCCTCCCCAACCCTGGGACTATAACCCAGCTTTGGAAAGAAAAACAAAACGAACCATCTTATACAAAATACCTGTAGAGTTTCAGGAGCTGAAAGCTACTATGCAGTACAATGTATGGGAGCGTGCCGACTTTTCTCATCTTTCATGGTACAATAAACGCAAAGTTCTGAATGTGTCCATAAAGAAAAGGACAAAACTCAGAAAAGTCTGGTATCATTCCTCCAGGAATGTGCTGTAATCTATGGATAAACCATGATAGCAGCACCTACTGACTCAACTCGACTCCCAGGACCTCTCCTGTTCCCAAGTCTGAGAGGAAATTTAGGAGGATCCTAGGGTACAAGAAGCCTTGCTGGATTACTGGGTAACATTTTGGTTTCTGAGCATCCATGTATCTGAAGAAGAGAAAATTAGGGAGGGAAGTGGATGAAGTTGCAAAGTCCTAATGACATATATAATATGAGAGGTTTTGGTTTCAGAGCTGCTTCACCCTAGCTGGCAAGAAGTACTTTTCCGAACTGAAAATCAACACCACGTTGGAACCCGCAAGCCGCAGGGTCACAGGGGTTAACTGTGTATACAGACCTGTGCAGGTTATGTCACCAACGGTTACTCTGAAGGTGAAAGTGGGCACATGTATTTGCACATCAGATCTTTCACATTCATAAACCGGGATGTTCTTGGTCTTCATGCCGTATTCGTGTAATACCTGAATCGGTGTTTTTCCTGGCTTAGCTGTTATCATCTTCCCCAAACTGCAAAAACCAGAAGATGGGCTTTGCATGGCAAAGACAGAGACTCAGAGGCGTACACTGGTCAGCCTGACGGCCACCAAGGCCACCCGTGGTGAGCGGAGCTGCGCCCTGGCTCCTCCGCGGCCGGCGCCACAGCAGCAGAGGCCCGGGCGCACCGGTCTCGCTGAGCGCGGTGACAGAGGCTTCGGGGGAGCTCCAACAGGGGCTTCTGTGGGGACCAGGTTGGGCAAGAGCGCAGCACGCCCCCATCAGGCCCAGGACCCTGTCCCGGCGCAGGGGCGCCCTCCGCGTCGCCCCAGCTACAGAGGGGCGGGGCCGAGCGCCGCAGCCACGGGCGTGGGGCGCAGAGAAGGGGCTTTACCCGGCATGCCGCGCGCGAGCCGGCTCCCGCCCCCGCCACCGCCGCCAACGTTCTCGGCCCCGGGCCGCGGCGGCCCGGGCGCTGCTGACCTGAAGGTCTCGTTGTCCTCGCGCACCAGCGGCGGCGCCTCGGCGCGGTGTCTGCTCTGGGACATGGCTAGCAGGGCCGGGGAGCAGCGCCAGGAAGAGCGGTGCGGGGGCTGTTGCTCCCCGTGTCGGCCAGCCCCAGAGGAGAGCTCTCCGGCACGGCCGCCTTTCCCGGCTCTCCAGCGCCCCGCGGCTTGCGTCCCTCTAGTGAAGGGGACCGGCGGGGCGGGAGGGGAGCGAGAGGCGGAGCCTCGGTGCGACGGTGCCGGCCACCCCCTTAACCCGCGCCCGCGCTCCCACCCCGGCTCCCGCTCCGGCTCCAGCCCGGGCTGCAGCTCGCGGCGCGGCTCGAACGCGGGCCCGCCCCTTCCCCAGGCCACGCCCCCTCGCCGGGCCCGGCGCTTCCCAGCTCCAGTCCGCGCCCCCGCCGGCTCGCTTGGCACCGGGCCCCGCCCCTGCCCGCCTCTCTGTTCCCCCGCGTCCCTCGGCACCCCGCTTGGGCTTTCGGACTCCCGGCGCCTGGCTTTTACTCATCTCTTTATCCTTGGAAGCGATGCTTGCCCGGGTGGGCTCCGGCTTTTGTGAGCCCGGAAGCTCAGGGATGCGGAGTAAAGATGGGGGGGATTATTTTAGGAAAGATTTTAAAATTCCGAAGGCAGAATTGCAAGAAAACCCGCGGGAGCCTGTCCAGAAAACCGGAGCCCTTGGCTTTATCTGTCCCCAACACTGCGGCGGGCTCCTGGCCCGAGCCCTCGAGGCGCATTCCCCTCTCTCCCCGGGCCGGCTCTTTTGTCTTGTGGGTTTCCGTTGTTTGTTGAAAGCAGGGCCAGCGGAGCCCAGCAGGGCACTTGAGCGTAAAGGAGACTTGCCTGTGGGCCAGGATCTGGGCGAGTGCTGCTTCTGCCTACCTGGATAGTTGGTTTTAATGGCTTTTGCCTGGAACGCACCGCTTTTTGTGGGGCTCGGCTAGCGACGTTAGGTGTTTGGCCTCTCGTAAGGGGTTTACTAGCCACTTGTGGAAAAGGCTCCCTGTGTTTACTCGGTGCGGTAAAATAGGTGTTTGCACAATGTTATTGTGTCTCCCAAAGGAACATTATTTAAGTGTTTTTGGTTGCATGTGAGCCCCTGGATATTTGAAAGCAAGTGAGATAGTATCTAGAAGAACCTCATTATACAAATTGCTATTATTTGAGGCTTAAATTAAGCCTATAGGCTCCTCCTCTACCTGCTGTGTGTACATTATTTCCCAATAGTGTTACACTTTTAGGAATAACTTAAAGAACCACAGAGACCTGATTTCAAAACACATTAATATAAGCTAGGGATGATGGTGGCACATGTGTTGTAATTCTAGCAGCAGGCAGGGGGATTGTCCCTCCCCCTTTATACCTTTCCAGCACTAAGGACAAGCACTATTTCAGTACAGATTTGTTATTTTTAGCAACAGAATTCCTTAAAAACAAGCCAAAACCTTACATGGCTCTTCACAGTTTGAGTAACTGGTATAATGATAAAGCAAATCGAAAGTTAATTGCAGTAGGGCTCCGTTTCAGGTGTAGACCAAGTGCTCAGTTTCTGAGGAAGAAAGCACTGCCTTCTGATAGTTTTTTTTTTTTAATATGTAATGTGACTTTTTGTATTTTATAAAGATCCATATATAATTGTCTCCATGTACGGTGTGAAATTATATTCGGTGTTAACACGGTTTTGTAAACATATGAGACAAAATGAATGAAACTATATACCGAAAGAGTTCAATACAGCACCTTTTTGTTGCCAAAATTGGCCTGGTGCACTTGTGAAGGAATTCCCTTTGGCCTATGTCCATAGCAGATAGTGTTCAGGACTGATGTTAGTGCCTAAGTTGCAGTGTTTCCCGTGGAACGTATACGCCTTTTAAGACTGGCCTACTGCCACTGGCAAATCGCAATCAACCAGAATCCTCAGCGAGGACACTGGTAGTATGCTTGAATCCATATTCTGTGTATATTTTGGTGTTGTCGCTTGCCATTCCAAATTAGACCTGCTTTTAGGGTATCATTTTACCCGGTGATCTATTATTCATTACCTGAGCGCATGAGGAAGGCGGTGTTGCGATGCACACGTTGGTAAACGTCTTGGTGAGATCGTACTTCTTATTTTTACCGTGTGTAATTACATTTGAGATCAAGTAAGGTTTGGTGTTGTTATTGATTTTCCTCTGTAAAGATGGATTTATTACCTGGGGGCTGCAGTTGGTGACGTTTTGATATTAATATGTTCGCTGCTGCTACCAAGAGCTTTGTCAAGCAGGTTGGAGATGGAGGGAGATTAGTTCCTGTTCCAAGCCTCAGTGAAGCCGACAAGTACCAGCCTCTAAGTCTGGTGGTAAAAAAGAAGCGATGCTTTCTGTTTCCTCGATATAAATTTACCTCAACACCCTTTACACTGAAAGATATACTCCTAGGAGACAGAGAAATTTCAGCTGGTAAGTTCAAATGTTTGGGAGAGACTACTCATGGAGCTGTGTTACTAGTCACCAAAAATAGGTCTTAAACACTAATTACATAATAATACTGATAAAGGTAACTTTTATTATGATGCTAGTAATGTTTTTATGATTAATAATGCCTAAAGTTTATATGTTATCCAATATCTTATTGGTTGATATACCAGTCATGTTATAAGTAGTTTTAACAAAGCAGTTTGGAAAATGACAGATTAATGTATTTTCATGTGTAAAATAGAATATTATTTGAGCTTATTTATTTTACATAGTCAAATGAGATAAATTTGTACTTACAGTTAATTTATTATACTGGTAAACTGGACTTTACAATTAACCAACACTTTAACAAGCTATTGCTTATAAACGCTCATGTTTTTCTTTCAACCAGCGGCTTTTGATGCTTAAGATATTCCCATGGCTGAACAGAAAATTTAAGTTCATTTTAAGTGTTGTAAAATTGAATTGAGTTTTCTCTGTGTGGTATCAGAAATGGAACCCAGGGATGCTCTAACACCTGGCTACCTCCCAACCCCTTTTTATTTTTTATTTTAAGACAGAATCTCACCAAGTCGCTCAGGCTGGGTTCAGGCTTGCAGTCCCGCCTCAGCTGCCCAACTAGTTGGGATTACAACAGTTAGCTGAATTGCTATTTTTCATCTTAGTTTAAAATGTTGATTTTCCCACTAACATTTGGGTAACTGAGTCTTCAATTGCAAATTAATGTTATTATAAATTACCTATCTAGGACAAATTTGAGACTTTAAAAAATACTATTCTCCTTTTCGTAAAGGTATTTCATCTTATCAGTTACTGAATTATGAAGATGAGTCAGATGTTTCACTCTATGGACGTCGAGGCAACCATATTGTAAATGATGTTGGGATTAATGTTACTGGATCAGATTCCATTGCAGTAAAAGCTTCCTTTGGTATAGTTACCAAACATGAAGTGGAAGTGTCAACATTACTAAAGGAAATTACTACACGGTCGGTATAATAATCCTAATATACTTCACTGTTTTCATTGAATGTTTTGATTATATCAACTTCATTGCAAAGAATACTTATAGTATTCACATATTATACAGATGTAATTTATTTGTTTGATTTGTTTGAAATACTATAAATTAGTATAGCCAAACTTTAGATAAGTATACACATACAAAAATCATGTGTTAAAGAAAAATTCCTGGTCCATAGAAGTACTATAATTCTGCACACATTTGCTAAATTATTAAATTGAAATAATATGGGACTATCCAGAAAATGCAGTACAAAAATCCCCCACTAAATATTCTCAACAGACAAAATAAAACATTCTAGGTAAGCATGGTTAGGAAAATAGGAGAGGCAGATTATTCAAAACTTTGGGAGTATATTTTCTGATTTATAAAAGACTGCCTTGCTTTTAGTAAAGACCCATGAATGAATAACAGGTGATATATATATAGTGATACTACAGAATCTTGTGACTGTATCCTTTTTATTTTAGAAAGATTAACTTTGACCACAGCTTGATACGTCAGTCAAGGAGCAGCAGGAAGGCAGTGCTGTGCGTGGTCATGGAAAGCATTAGAACCACACGACAGTGTTCGCTGTCTGTCCATGCGGGAATTCGAGGAGAAGCAATGCGGGTAAAGCACACTCACTACAAAATAGCCATGGGCATTTTAAAAAAGTACTCCTTACCATGAGACATTTTGTCAAATGTTGATGAAAGAGCTGTAGTTGTGTAGTATTTTTCACAGAAATGGTGTGTTTCAGTGTGAAAAAACATGCAAGAAAATTTGGATTCTAAGTAAGTGTAACATAACTCAAACAAAACACTAATCTTTGAGAAATAATGTGTATGCTGGAGCTCCCTCTTGTTACTGTTTAAGTGCAATTTAAAAAATAAAAAGAGCGTAGGTTGCAACCTTCTATACTATTTTGAAGTAATACAGTTCATACTTTGAAGTTTTAAAAGTTAAATTTATATTTTGTATTAAATATTTTTTCTAAATATTATCAATGACAACACTTTGTTCAGTGTTAAATTCTTTTTAAGCAATTAAAAGATAATTTGTTTAATTTTAAACTCAATTATGTCATTGTTTATCCTGGTCATTCATGACCTGATTCTTACACAGGGTTAAATTATAATCTTTTGGAGTCTGTGCACATGAAAGTTCTTCTTAGTGCCTATATTTAGCTATCTACTAGATTTATATTATCATTGGATTATTTGGGGGGTACCAACTGAAGCATTTGTTTGATTGTTGGTGATTGTTTTAGAAAACTTCTGGAAGCTGGGTGCAGGTGTTGGAACAGTAGATAGGCTAGACTGCAAGCTTCAACTTAGCATTTAAATACAGTCATTTTCTAAGATTTGTAGTTGAAATCAGCAGGTTCTACTGCAGACAGCATTACTGTGGTGATGGTACTAATCACTGACTTCAAACCAAAGTAAATGAAAAAAGTAGAGAGGTCTTCCCCAGTACAGATTATGGGTCCACAGGGGACCCCTTGGATCTCTGGTATACAGAGTTTAGTTCAAGCAGAGTAATTCTTTACTTGAAGAAAGTTTGCTGTTGTTTTGTTGTTTTATTTCTCTGAAAAGCTATCCTGACATGTTAGGCTCTTTAATAATTTATTAATTTATTTATTATAGTTTCATTTTATGGATGAACAGAATCCCAAGGGAAGGGACAAAGCTATTGTTTTTCCAGCACATACAACCATAGCTTTCAGTGTTTTTGAACTCTTCATTTACCTGGATGGTGCCTTTGGTGAGTGGATGATCTGCTTGAAAGACAAATGATTGTATTTTAAAGGAGAATTTAATAGGAAGTTCTATTTAGTAGTTATAGAAAAGTGATGTTTTCAGCACAGCCAATCTTATGTTTGGGTGAAGGAGCTGGGAAGGATCCTCCCTGGCCTGCTTATCCAGTGCCTCTTTTCTGCTGCTTGGTAAAGGCTATAGACTCTCCATAACCCATTTACAGTTATAGATAACAGCTAAAAGTCAGTCCACTAACAACGTATTTATTGGCTTACAGGAGGAGATAACCAATGCCTGATAGTTTTGGAGTGTGTGACAAATTGGACTAGGTAGATAGTAAGGTTCTTGAAGGGTCATGTTCCCCAAATCAGGGTACTCAAAGACAACTTTACAACTTTCATTTTTACCTAATAAACACAACTTTTCTCAACTCCCCCCAAAAATTGACTTTACAAATACTTCCTCCAAGATTATCATCTGATGTATTACTTTCATACAATTCACTTTAATTTTCTTCATTGTCATCTTATGTAATATCTTTGTGCAACTCTAGTTTTCATTTAAGGTTAGTTCACTGGCAGCTGGCCCAAGGCCAGGTGTAGCCCAAAGGACTAGGCAAGGGAGCCCCTGGATATGGTAATTTATAAACATTTTTATAACTATTTCTATCCAATTCTGAAATTCTGTGGAAGGAAGGAATAGAATGTTGAGAAACAAAACTGTTCTAAGTAAATTCTATTTGGAGTCTTTTGTGTACAGGTTTTTATAGTTACATTGATTGCTGGAAGGAATATAAACTCATAACCACTAAAATATAAAATATAAATGTACTTTGGCCCATGTGCCCAGGAAATCATCCTGTAGGAGAGCTTACACATAGGTGAATTGAAATGCATATAAGGATATTCATTTCCTGATAGCAGAAGACTGGAAACCATTTTAAGTGAACTTGTATAGTGCTATATCAGAATACAACAGAATACTATGAAGCTGTTGTGTGAGTGAGCTCTATAAATCCTAACATGCAGTAAGTATTTGGGCTAAAGGGTTTTATACATATGTATGCATACATATTCCTTTATGCTTGTAAAATACAGGGAATATTTCAGAAGCATTCCTCAGACGTGTATCAGTGCCTCTGGGGTGGAAGACTGGCTAGGTACAGAGTGGGTTAGACACTTGTCACTGTAGCTCCCTTTTGAACTCTTTGAGTTTTGTATCATGCGCATATATCTTTTCAAAAATGTATAATATTTAGCTTTAAAAAAACACAATGAATGGCCCATATCAGAATCCATTGCTCCTATAAAATACTCAGTAAAGTAGGAGTTATTACCATCATAACATCTTTTTGAAATTGTTTTGTAGACCTTTGTGTCACTTCAGTGTCAAAAGGAGGATTTGAAAGGGAAGAAACGGCAACATTTGCATTTCTCTACAGACTGAGAAATATACTGTTTGAAAGAAGTATGTCCTCTGAAGAGTATTTTGCATGGATGTTTTTCTTCCTGGGAAAATTTTAATAGTCAAGTCATTGCATGACTGATGACGTACTATGTACATGTCTATGTCTTATCTATTTCTGTATGTATCTTATAGATATATATCTATATCTGTATCTGTATCTATATTTATACCTATATCTGTAATGCAATATGGGTTGTATATTTTTATTTTGACTTTTGATACATTTCTGTTTTTGTTCTTCTAGACAGAAGAGTGATGGATGCCATTTCTCGCTCACAGTTTTACTTGGATGATCTTTTTTCTGACTACTATGAGAAACCTCTCAGCATGAGTGATATTTCACTCAAGGAAGGGACTCACATCCGAGTTAACTTACTCAATCACAACATTCCTAAAGGGCCTTGCATACTCTGTGGAATGGGGAACTTAAAAAGGGAGACGGTCTATGGCTGCTTTCAGTGTTCTGTGGATGGACAGAAGTATGTTAGACTTCATGCAGTCCCTTGTTTTGATATTTGGCACAAGAGAATGAAATAAAAAGAAAAATGAATGTACTTTGTTGGTGTTTTAAGTGCAGTTGTGCCATAAACCTTCCCTGAACTGCTTAGGTTTGCTGTGATAAATTAAGACGAGAGAACAAACAGAAAGCCTGTGTGGGTATCATTTCCCCAAGTACAGATGATAGCATTCCTGTCTACCTCATAAATTGCCAAAAAGATCAATAATATTGTTTATAGCAGAGTTTAAATATATAAAACTTTAAAATATAGACAATCTTTCAAAAATTTGTCAGTCACTTTATAATCACTTGGAATTTAGTCTATCATTTTAGATAACATAATTAAAAGATTTTCTGAATACATCAATTATATTATACTTTTGTGGTACTGGGGAATGAACCCAGGATGCTTGTGAGGCAATTGGTCTCCCATGGAGCTACCACCCCAGATTTTTTAAAATTTTGAAATAGTTTTCCACTAAGTTGCCCAGACTGGCCTTGAACTTGAGATTCCTCCTGCCTCTCTCTCCTGAGGAGATGAGATTACAGGTATGTGCTATCGAACTGGCTTATTTTATTCTTATTCAGATTCTAATTTAACATTTAAGGATGAAAAAAGTATGTAAGTGGTTATTTGATGGCCTTTTAGTGCCCTCGCCATAGCAAAAGGAGAAAAATTAATATTTAATATAATTCTAAATGTTTAATTGCCATATCAAATTAAAAACACTGAGTTCAGCATGGAGTTTTGTGTACATAATTCACAGAGTGATCCTAATAATGGGTTGCTCTTTTGTGATATGAATGTATGCTCACATTTGTCTTCATAAAACTTACTAGTGTCATTTAAAAGAAGGGAGATAGGATGTACTGTCTTGTTTGAAAAGGAAAGTTTGCAGTGACCATTAATGATAAGAATGTTATGCTATAAGGTGTTGTAAAGTCAGAGATATTAGAGAAAGGTACCTGGAAAAATTCCCTGACATTGGTTTAAAACTATGACCTTGGGGTGATAGATATTTAATGAAGGCCTATGAGAAGGCAGAGTGATAGCACATTTATAATTTCTGAAGAAATACCGCCCTAATTTCTGCTATAGGATGTAAAAAAGTCTTTGGTCTGGTCAAATATCTCTAAACATTTCCATTTAGAACAAATACCCAAGGTCAGAAGCTTGCACCAAAAAAGTATAGACAGTGTTGAGATTCTTTGTGGGACAGAGATCCTTTATACCCTATTGCCCATAATGTCATGAAATGCATAATCAAATAAATATTATTTCCTGGGCCCCTAGTGAATATTTTAAAAATACAGGACATCTTAACACCTAACATATTGGATCTTTACATATTTATACATGCGGTAAAGGTTGGGAAGAATTTGCCGATTTTGGTAAATCCTGTTATATCATGAAGGAAGGTTATTGTTCACTGGGACACAGACCCACTCCAGAGTGCTACAGTTCATGTTCACAGAATACTGCACCAGGAAATATAGTCATACTTTTTTGAGAGTTAAACTTGCAAAATAGCCTCACATTTATTTTAGCAAAGCTATATATATATATTGTAGGAGAACAAAGTATCTTCTTATAGGAGAAAAGTAGAAAATACAGGTGAAAAAAATTTTTTTATATGTAAAGTACAATAAGTAGTTAAAAATACGCTATAGTTCATCATGTTGGTACACGTTATATTCCTTGGGAGAAATGAAGCCATTGCCATCATGGTCATTCTTTTTAAAGAAGTCTTCTAAAACTGCATTCTGATAGGACTTGTCACGTGGCTTCTCATCTTTTTCAAATTCTCTCTCCAAGTAATAGCTTACCTATAGGGCCCAAATGACATTTATTTAATGAAAAGGTTTATAAGTTTCCAGTATATTTAAAGAATATTTACAATAATGAAACTCATATCCAAGACTACTTATATATTAGATGACACAAACATTCTGAAAAGCTATTTGAGGTTTTAATTTTATTAACCTTTTAAGCAATTTTGAAAGAGAAACAGACATTTGAATTAGCTTCTGCTAAGGTTCTAATGGTTAGAGGTAGATACACTAAAACTAAATGCTTTTCAATAATCTACACTGTTCACATTATCAAAGGAAAATCATTCTTAAGAATTTCGACTAATGCATAAAATTCACATTAGCATTTCTACACTTTCTAAAACTAATAAATATATTGTATAATCAATCAAGTCCAAGCTATATTTTGAAGTAAAATTTAGGGTTTTTTTTTTTTTTTTTTTGGTACTGGGAATGGAACTCAGGGTCTTGTGCATGAACTATATCATTATGTGAAGCAAAAAAATTTTTTTCTACGTCTCCATATATTGTCCCCTAATTAACTCAGATAACCTAATAATAATATCAAAGGAAGAACAAGCATTGTTATGTTTTGTTTCCTTTATATTACATATAATGAGATTTTCCTATGCAAACACACAATAAAGCATTGTGGAAATGGTAGCCACTAGCCACATGACTTTTTTTTTTTTGTCTTTTTCCTTTTTATCGGTACCAGGGATCGAACTCACGACTGGCTGCTTGCAAGGCAGGCACTTATGCCGCTGAGCTAAATCCTCAGCCCCTAGCCACATGACTTTTAAGCACTTAAAATGTGCCTGTATCAAATTGTGTATGGCTTGTGTATGTATATCTAAATGTTCCCCAAAAGGCTCATGTGCTCATAGGTGGAGCTTTTGGGAATGACTGGATCATGTGTGTGATACTGAATTTGTTCACTGATTGGTTTAGCATAGTTTTATATGTGGATGATGGAATTACATTTTGGGTATGGGTGATACGAACCAATGGGCTTATAGCCTGGATGGAATAAAAAGGGAATGAAAAACTGAGTTTTCCTGCTATGACATTAACCTTTTCTCCTCCATGATGCCTCTTTGCCATTGCTACCTACCTTGAAGACAGCTGACTATGGAGTGAAACCTCTACAAACTGTGAGCTAAAATAAGCTTTTCCTCTTTCAGCTCGTGAGTGGCAGGGTTTTTCTTTCCTCAGCAATGAGAAAGTAACTAAGACAAATTGAAATGTTATTGTAAATGTGAAATACACAAAAAAATTTTTAAGACAACATGAAAAGTGTATTTCATTGATTTTTATATAGATTTCATATTGAAATGGCATTATTTTAGATATTGAGTTAGACTAAATTAAAATTTTACTTGTATTTATTTTTAATTAATTATTTGTAATATTGAGGACTGAGTAGCTGGGACTACAGATCTGTGCCACTGCACCTATCTTTCTTTTTATTTTTTATTTTTGCAGTTACTGGGGATTGAATCCAAAGCCTTACATGTGCCAAGCAAGCACTCTATCATAAAGGTACATCTCAAACCCTTTTAAATTTAAATTATTTTAAATTTTGAGAGTAGGTCTAAGTTACACAGGCTGGCCTTACACTTGCCATCTTCTAATATCAGCTTCCCCTGTAGCTGGTATCATAGGAATGTTATACATCTGGCTTCTTTTTATGTTTTAAAATGTGGCTATTAAAAGATTTTAAATTATGTATATGGCTCAATTAAATTTTTGTTGGAAAACGCTAATGTATATAATAACTAAAAATGCAAGGCATCATGATCGAGATAATACACTCCAAGGCTGGGGCATTTTAGAGTCAAGACCACTTTTGAAAGCTGGACTTAACCTGTGTTTTAGTAATTTATAGCCCAAACTCAAGGACAATTGATGAATTGTATGTAGCATATATCAACTGTTCTCAAATGTAATTTTGGTTCTTTGTTTGTATTTTTCCCCAATTAAAACTCAGCAGTCCAACATAATCATAAAGAATTTACCCTCAAATATTCTGGAGCTTGTAATAAGTAAAATTTATCATTGTGTGTGTGTGTGTGTGTGTGTGTGTGTGTGTGGTACTGAGGGTCAGACCCAGAGCCTTTGCACTGAGCTACACCCCAAGTGCTTTTAATATTTTTTTGTTTTTTAAATTTTGAGACAGGATCTTGCTAAGCCCCCTCAGGTGGTCCTGAACTTCCATCCTCCTGCCTCAGCTACCCAGGGTTATAGGTGTGTAGCACCATGCCTGGCTATAATTTAGCTGTAAATTTGAGCTGATACAATCTTTTACTTTTTTAGTATACTGTAATAAATGGGTATAAAAAGGTAATGAGTAAGAACAAACATCAATTTTGCTACTAATGAATTCCACTCTATTTCTAGTTTGTAACAATAAAACATAATACCTGCTCTCCACCCTTTTTATATGAAAGTAACTTACTCAGTCTTCATAATGATTAAAGAAGGAAATTTATGTTAGTTCATATTTTCAATCCAGGATTTCTAGGTGTTGACTATGGTCTTAGAAAAATAATTTAGCCTTTGTGTGGTCATTTACAAATATTTAAACTTTCTCAAACTCAGCTATATCATCTGTGAAAAGAGAGAACTAGTTATGTAGTTGGATTAATGTGAGGATTAGCTACTGTTATTTAAGCTTCTGAGTATCACTTTTATCTGTCTGGTGATAATGTAGCTAATATCCAATAGATCCCTGGAGAAAAACTATAACTAACTAGTTTACTAGTTTGCATTTTTTTTTTACTTTGGCTTTCTACAAAAGAACTGAAGATCTCCTAATGTCTGAGAGAATTTACACTGCAGAATGCACCTGTGGGTGTGTCTGTGCTAATGAATGGCCTGTGTACAGCCTGAGCTCTTGGTGCTATGTGAATCCACTCTTGGTGTTCATCATACGGAGGGTGATAAGCAGCCCACAGAGAAATGCACACTTGGGATAATTCCATGCTCACTGCCCTTCTTATCAAGGCACAGGGGAGAGTTCCTTCTTGTTCTTCCACTGTTGACCAACAAGGGTGTCTCAGGGAAAAGGTTCTACTAAGTCCTGAGGAGGAAGTATAATTGGGTGGGAAGGGAATTGGAGAGGGAGACAAAAAATAGAGGAAGGACATACTCAACACTTGAGGTCAGAGATCCAGCTGCCTTTTACTGTATACTTACTATATGCATCTTGAACTGTCTCCAGACAAGGAGACAAGTGGGTCACCTTTTTTGGGGGGGAGGTGGGTAGGTACCAGGGATTGAACTCACAACCTCACATTTACCAGGAAGGGGTTTATACCATTGAGCTAAATCCCCAGCCCCAAACCTGTCATCTCTATAGGCCTCTCTAGTTTCTGGACTTATAGGAGTAGATCTCTTTTTCTATTAACACTGTAAGAATTTTTAACTGGACAAATAATTTGCACCTGAGAGGATTATGAGAATTAGATGAGATTATGAGAACAGCTGGCAAGGCTTTGAATTGGGTAGGCTAGAAAGGAAGCAAACACAAGCCCAGAGTTCAGCTACTAGCTTCTAATATCTCAGCCTTCCATATAGATATTATAACAGTAACTATAAATAACACATTTTCTCAGTGCCAGACACTATCATAAACAAGTACATGAACTTATCTAATCTTCATGATAATTTATTGAGTAAGTAATATTATCATCAGCTTCATCATATAGATGGGGAAAATGATGCTCAGACAGATGAAGTAGCCAGCAAAAAATTCACATAGCCACAAGTGGGAAAATCAGAATTATAACCTGGACAGTCTAGACAGAATTGTAACCAGTATTGTGTTCATAACATCGGGCACTCCCTGCCTCTTTCAGGAAATTTCCACCATGAATGTTCAGCGCTAATGCTTGTTTTACTGAAGTCTAGTGCCTGGCCGGGGGATATAGACCCTGCCTGACAAGGGTGATGACAGGTTTGGGATTTTAATGACCATGCTTGCAGGAAGAAAGGCAGTTGAGTTGGATGAATCTCAAGTGATCAGAGCCCATGGTAAGTAGGATTAAAGGTAATAGCTGCAACACAGATGCATTTAAATTACAATGAAAAAACATCAAATGTGTTTGAATTACCTCAGTTTTAGAAAGTTGCCTGTCATTGTCTGCATCTATCTGTTTAAATGTTTCAACACTCCGTGGTCCTTTGGTCACAGCATAAAGCTCAATCTCAAAAATCAATGTTGCATCAGGTGGAATCTTGCCTTCTGCTAAAGGTATAAATTTTAAAGTTTAATTTATATGAAGATACACTTCAAATATTTATTAATGAACAATCACAATGGTATTTTTGCATTTATAAGAACTACTTTCTATAAACATTTAGAAAAATTTTGTCTTAAAAATTTTGTTTTTAATTTTTTTATTATAAAAAATTTTTAGGAATATTTTTCCATATTTAAAAATTTTTTTCCATATATTTTTAACCAATCAGTTCAAAAGAGCTACAGGATCATTATTTCATGATTAAATTAAAAGAAATACAAATTATATAATTTTTATTAATATACCCCATCATCATACAGGACAAGTATACAGAAAACAAATGTATGATCAGAAAAATTTCAAAGTGTAGATGAGTAATCTCTTAGAAAATGATTTTTTGTAGTTATTGAGAAGCATAAGTATAACATAAATATCAGTGATCAAAAAAATTCATAAACAATTTTACCAAGACATTTAAATTGCAATAAAAATTTAAGTATTAAACTGAAGTGTCCTTTAATAAAATTATCCTATTAGTTAATATCACAGATAATTTTAATCTTCCACACATAAGCATTTCTTACAAATGGTCTGCAAAAATAACTTGCCTGGGGCAGTGGGTGGCTTATAGCACCCGTATATTCCCAGGGAATCACACAGTGACTTATTTATTATGGCCGCTCAAATGGATCAGTGAATGAATCAATGACCCAAGTTGTTTATTTTAAAAGTGGTTAAGTTTGACCTTTGAAAGAAGCATTCATTTCTTTTACGAAACAGAGAATTCTTGCTAAAACATTTGCATAGTCCAAAGAGAAAAGAGTTTTGCAAGTTACAATCACAGAGAAAGTAGATCAGAAATTTCCAAAGCCAGGACACAGAAAAACTTTCCAAGTATCATCTGACTATTGCAAAAGTCCTGATCTAATGCCCACATATGACTAGACTTTAGAGTAAAAAAGCTAGAGATTTAGCCAGTGTCTTTTTACAGACCTCTTCCTAATCTGTCCAATTATAATCACCTTATGACAGAACAGCTTCTCCTGATAAAGACAGACTTAAAACAAGGCCCCTCCTTCCGCTTTGAGTAACTCAAGCATTCCTTTACTCCTTCTCCTTTTTTTTTTGTTTTGAGAACTGAACCCAAGGCCTTTGTACTCAGCTATAGTCCCCAATTTTTTTTTTAATTGTGGGACAAGTTTCATGAAATCACTAAGTTTTCTAGGCCCGAACATGATGTTCTTGCCTCTGCCTCGCAGTGTGTTGGGATTACACTATCATCATGCCAGGCTCAAATTCAGAGTCCTGAAGAAAAAATATTACAGGTACATCTACAGTTTCTGAATTCTGCAAAATACAAAAATATATCCAGTTAGTTCTTTTCCTTGCAAAAATTTATGAAACTTGAAAAGGAGAAATATTTACATACACATTAGCTGTGACGTTACTATTTACAGAAGCAGAACAGAGAAGGAGTTAATGTAAAGAATCTATACATACCACATGTATGGTTAATAAAAGCACTAAAAAGTCGCATGCATTTCAAGACATGCAGGGGTGCTCTGTGACATGAGGCAAGGACATGTTGCAGAGGACAGACTTCTTCAAGTATTACCTAAAATAAAGTTACAGGTACAGCTAATGTTAGGTCTTAACTTATTAAAAGCTTATTTAATCAAGAAATTGCTTGTTAAATTAGTTACGTATGGCAAAGGCTGCAACTTTTCAAACAGTCTAATCCAAACTATTGTAATGCAGGTAAGGCCAGCAATTAATTACATTTCAAAGAATATAACTTTCAGGGGGCCTCAGTTTCCATTTGTGTGAAATGAAGGTGCTAGAATTATTACTAGGAGAATCATGTTATGGTTGGGATCTAAAATGTGCCCCCAAAGACTCAAGTGTTGAAGGTTTGATCCTCAATGCAGTCATGTTCAGAGGTGGGGATTCTGGAAAGTGACTGGAGTATGAGGGTTGTGATCCCATCAATAAATTCATCCATTGATGGATGTATAGTTGAGTGGCCTATTGGGAAATGTTGGACACTCTAAACTGCGGAGCATGGTTGGAACAAGATCACTAGGAACAAGCTTTGGAAGGGTTCATCTTGTCCCTGGTCCCCTTTCTTGATCTTGCTGTTTCTGCTTCCTGGCTGTCATGAAATGAGCAGCTCATGAGCCAAAATAAACCTTTCTCTTTCAAGTTGTCCTCAGGTATTTTGCTACAGCAACAAAAAACAACACTATTGGTTTATTTATTTGCAGTACTGACATTTAACCTGGGGTCTGCTGCATGCTAGGCAAGGATTGTACCACTGGCCACATCCTCAGCCCTTCCAGGCACCATTTTTATTTTATTATAGATACCTCACATCGAATATGAACTCTCTTCTCCAAGTCAAACTACTGCATCCCTGCAACAGGGTCTGATTTATTGATAACTTAGGCATCCTGGGTATCAACTAAGCATAGGTTAGTTTATGAAAACTAAGTAATAGTCTTCTTGTAGTACTGGATCCAGGATGGGCACCTCATGGTTGAGGCATGTGGAAGATGCCCTAGGCAGCTAGAAAAGTGGGTCCTCTAGTGGGGTAAGCAGGATGTGAAGGTATCTGATAATATAACACAAGAAAGGAGAAAACTGAAAATGTAAGGGACTGAAAGGCACAATTTGCCTATATTATTTTGCTAAAATAGTCTTAAATTAATGGCGACAATTTTAGGATAGTATTGCATTCAACTTATCTTCAAATTTCTTTTCCCATAGGTTCCTTTATACAAATGAAAACAGGATATATAAAGTAAGACACCATAGAAGCCATTTGTTTTGTTTATTTGTATCTTAGTTACTTTTTAAATTTTTTTATTTTTATTTAATTTTTTTTCTTAGTTACTTTTCTCATTGTTGAGACTCAACATCAAAAGTTAAAGAAGAAAAGGTTTATTTAGCTCACAGTTTGCAGAATCCATAATCCATAATCAGCTGGCTCCAAGGCAGGGTGGTATTGTAGGCATTGCAGGAGAGAAACAGTTGATGGCAGGCAGAATGCAGCAAAGCAACAAGGTATGACAACAGCTCTTTCTGTCCCTTATATCTTATCAAGACTACTGAGGGCAAATAGCACTCACATCTTAATCCTAATGCCCTTGATGAATTGCACCATGACTGAATTCCAGGATCACATACTCCTAGATCCAGCCACCTCTGAAAAAGCCTTATCTATGACTGCATGAGGCTTTGGGGGTACATCTAGACAAAACTATTACAATTTTCTTATTGTGGTACAGAGGATGGATGTACATGATAGACAAGCAATTCATCACTGTGTTGTACCCTTAGTCCCTGGGACCTATTTTGATAAGCCCATTAAATGATTCACAGAAAGTATTAAAAGTGAAGCTAGCATCATCTGGAGCCATGTCTTTAGGAGTTTCAGGCCTGACTGGGCTTGCATCACTGATCTCTCTTAACTGAATTTGAGGCAGTGACTCCCGCTCCTACTGGTAACAATAGGTGAGGGAATCATTACTCTTGATGACTAAATCAACACCTCAAACAAGTCATGCTATTTCCACAAAGTATTTGGGAGTAAGACAATTCATCTTTGTGTTTATTGGAGACACCTCAAATTGAATATGAACTTCTTCAAATCAAACTACTACATGTCCACAGCTCAACATTTCATCATAGAAAATTAAAAATTAATTATATACTAAATATGTCAAATAGGTAGAGTTATCAGGGTTCTAGACATAGAGCCTTCATGTAGCAATAGCGAGCAATGACCTAACTGAGGATGTAAGGTGGAACTTGCCTGTTGGGCTGCCATCTTCTCTCCTTAAAATTTCTTTCTCTATTCTGCAATACTTTGAAATTTTAGTAGTTTTAGAAAAATTAACAACATGCACATGATTAAATATTCAAACAGTATAAAATATTACAGTGAGAAGAAATATTCTTGCTCTTGGCCCATAGGCCTCCTTCCCAATACTTAATGACCTCAGATAACTGTGTGTCCTTCTCGATACCGCCTGTGTAGATAAAGGTATATGTGAAATTCACCTGTGCAGAGCAAGCTCTTCCAGGATAGTGAGTAGTATTTACTTCATGCCCAGGGCCTAGCACAGACTGGCACAGACGCTCACTGAATATTTCTCCTAGGAATCTAGTCTATCCCACTTTAATCCTAATGTAGCTAGCATATTAATATGGCTGGCTTTACTTCATTCTTTTTCTGGCTAAGGAGTCATATAATTACTAGTGATACAACAACTAATTTCCTACTGATAGATGCTCAGGTAGCTTCTAGTCTTTTGCTAAAAAACAAAAATCTGGAATGTTCTTTTACATATACCTTTGTGCACATTCTTACAAATGGCATTGGTGAGAGATATATGTAATTTTTCTTTTGACAAATGTTGCTAGAAAGATGAATGATTTACATTCTCAGCAATAAAGCAAGAGATGGCTAGTTTTCCCATGCCCTAGTCAACTTTTATATTAGTTCATCTGATGGGTGAAAAATGGTGTCTCATTTTCATTTCCCTTTCCCTTCCTTTAATCATGAATAAAATTATTACCCTAGATTTAAAGGCTATCTGCATTTTTAAAAAATAGTGCACTGCTTTTATTTTGTTTGTTTTAAAGGGTGACCCCTGTATAGGGCTACGTCATTTTTATTACTGGTTAACATGTTCCTGCCAGTGGTATATGCATGACTGTACAAGCCACTTACAGGACTGTCCCCTGCCTGTACCCCTGGTGGCTCAGAATCACCTGGCAGCGGGGTACAAATTACAGCCCCATTGTGAATATGCTAAAAAGTCTTCATTCACATGCGTTGTAAACATTTTTCCCATATGTCTGCTTGACCTAGATTTGTGGATCTTTTTGTCTAGAATTTTTTTAAAAAGCAAGACATTGAAAGAAAAAGTTCATTCTTTCCAAGTTGCAAGGCTCGCACCATTATCGAGGTAACAATGAGTGACATCTCAGATGTTCCTTTTTACAATGTTCTACTACTGTCCCTTCCCTCTAAAATCATGTTGCAGCTTCCTGAACTTTGCCAATTAATTTTGATTCTTCTTACCAAAGACCTACAATGTGCTATAAACATTTATGTATTAATAATAGAATGTATATTTAAAAATAGAAACATCAAGGTAGAGCTTATAAAATATACACAATCATTGATTGTGCTGCTTGGGTAAAGAACTCTAGTCAGAGGTCTAGATTCCTATGTTGTCTTGTTTTCTTCACAGGTAAACAGAAAGGACTGAATTGAACTAGATATACTGAGATTTGTTGGACCCTCTGGTGCCTTTTTTTTTGGTACTGAGGATCGAACTCATGACCTCATGCATGCCAGGCAGGTGCTTATTTCACTGAGCTAAATCCATAGCTTTATTTGCCTTTTATTTATTTTTGCCTTTTTGAGACAAGGTCTTACTATGGAATTCAGGCTGGCCTTGAGTTCACTTTGTAACCCAGGCTGGTCTTGAACTTTGTAATGATCTCCTACCTCAGCCTCCTGACTGCTGGGATTACAGGCATGTGCCATCATGCCCGACTTTCCTTTCATTTTTAATCACTGTAAAACATAAAGTTCATCACCTTCATCATTTTATTCTTCAGTAGTAGAAAGTGCAATCACATTGCTTGCCACCAGTCTCCAGAACTCATCTAGCAAAACTAAACCTCTGTACTCACCATGGGACATCTCTCTTTTGCCCTCTCCATCTGACAATCACTTTTCTACCTACATCATAGCACGTCAGAATTTCCCTCCTTTTAAGGCTGAATATGGTGTATCCTTCATTTTGCTTATTAAATCTTTTGTCTTTTTTGGTAATTATGAATAATGTTACTACAAATACCAATTAACAAACGTCTCTGAGACTTCGCTTTCCATTTTTTTGCATATACACACAAAAGTCTATGATTTATTTTTTAAATATATAATTAACAGAGAAATTTTAAACACCTTACCATAGCCTTGCTTTCCATATGCAAACGAAGGTGGTATAGTCACTTTTCTTTTTTCTCCGGGGCACATATGCATCATGGCAATGTCCAGGCCCTTTATGACTTGCCCAACACCAAGGACAAACCATTTGGGGTGGCCTTCATTTTGTGTCCGGCTATAATAAAAATCACTTAGATAAGCTGATTTCAAAAAACCAAACTTTAAAATACAGTGGGGCATTTAGTAATAATTTAAAACTGGAGTCTCTTTTTCCATATTAGACCTCTTTCTGAACCCCCGATGAGGTGTTTGGCTCGAACTACAGCCGGCAGAAAGAAGTGTGATTTGCCCAAAGCTAGTCTTTAGGTACCATCTCACTTAAAAAAAAAAAAAAAATCATTGTTACAAAAACCATTCAACAAATTAACTTTTAAAATTGTTCTCCAGCCTCTAACTGGCTGCACCGCTTGTACAAATAACTCATTTAACCTCTCTCGGTTTGTTCTTTGAAAAATGATGGGGAAGGTTTATCTTCGAAGAAGTCATGTTAGTAGTAATTTAAAATTACATTTTTCTTATTAAATTTCTCGATTTTCGAAGCTTACTTTCCCCAACCCTCTCTTTATAGGAGAAAGACAGGAAGGGCACTTCTACTTGGAGGTGACAAACTACCCATTAAATCTGTATGCATCCCGCAGGATGAGAGAGCCCTCAGGAAGAAGGCACCCAGCCAGCTTCGAACACAAGGAAAGTCGTTTTTGCAGTGGCTGTGGGTATAAGGTGGCTCCCTAGGGTGAAAGCCAGAACAAAGTCTCCCTAATTACCTTAAGTAATAATTTCTATAGAGACCCTCCCCCCCCATCTCTCAGCAAAGGGAAAGCCTGAATATGCCTACAGCACTCCCCCTTCAGCTCCGGGGGTCCCAAGGATAGTGGTGGTCGTTCCGTGTGTAATTTTTCGTTTTTAATCATTGGACCAATATTTTTAAAAACTCAGTTTCCTAGGGAACTATTTGCCAAGTAATCCTATTTTTTTTTTTTAAATGATAGCAGTTAAAACAACCAAGCAGGTTTCGGCGGGTGGGTGGAGGAAGCACGCTTTAGTGCACGAACCGGACGCGGGGGCAGTCGGCAGCATCTCCTACCTACAGTAGAATTTCGAGCCGTCTTTAGCCAAGTAGCCGTCGTAATGGGCATTGAGCAGGTCCCCCTTCTTGCTGGTTTTCGAACAGTTTTCTGGACGATACAAAACTTCTATTTTTACTTCTGTGCTCTCCTCGTTCTTTTGTTCCTGAGCAATGTAGCAGCCACACAGGCCAAAGAAAAGGACTAATCTGTATAAAGCATGCATGGCTCCAGGCGCAGATCTCACTAGCTCCCCAAGCCCTGGCTTCCAACTGCGTGTCATTGAGTTGGAGGCCGAATTCCGACGCGTGGCAGGGATTGTTCGACGTCACAAAGGGTCGGGGCGTGGCCATACGAGACCCCTCCCCTCCCGGAGGAGCGTTTGGCTCTGGGTTGCCGCGGGCCTGGAGCCTGGGGACACCTCTATTACTGGGCTCTGGGGCTCGCTGTCCCCAGAAGCTGCGACGGGGCCTCATGGTCACGTTGCTTTTCTCGCCCGGTCTGCATGTTGCACACAGTTTCCTCCAGGTTGCTAGAATAAAAATGGCAAAAGACCGGATAGACAGCCTGCGTGGGATGCCCTACAGTCACAGAACAAGGCTGTCACTCCGGGGCACAAAGAGGCTTCTTATAGAGTTCCTAGAGTGTCAGCCAACAGGGTCAGAGGAAGTTCCCAAAGCAGAGGTGCGGAACCTCCCATGGCGCAGGGTACAGCTTTGCTGATTTGGTCACAGAAAAAGAATGGGGGACGCATCAGTGAAAGGCGTGAAGGGATCTGTTAGGTAGAATTTCAAAATGCAAACTCAGAGAAATAGTGTGTGGTTTCAGAAGGAGCCAGGAGCCTGGGGACCTTTAGTGGTATATATGTATAGGGACTTGGGGTGTCTCTAAAATTGGTTAAGAGCCCGGTTCACAGGCAGTCTTTAATGCCCTTAGGATTTTTTTCTTGGAAGGGGAAAAAAATGCTTGAATTTGACTTTTGTGTGCTGAAGCTGCGTTTTTAAAAACATACAATTTTAACATTACAAACCTTCCTCGTCTGCCATTTATTTCTTTATTTTTCTCTCCTTCAAAAGAAATAGCGGGTTTGGAGAGGGGCAGGTATTCCGGAAGAAAAGCAGAAAAATCAGGCTTGCGGTCGGTTGCTCACTCTCTAGGTGCTTTCCGGGGTGTCGTCCTAGCGCCTTTTCCGGGTGTGAGTCTTGCAGTAGCTGTTGCAGGCTGCATCAGTTACTTGAAACCTCATGGCCACCTGCCGGAACCAGCGCCCCGGATTCCCAGTTTCAGGGACCAGCTTTGCCTCCTGGGGACCCGAGGCTGGCCCGCGTTTCCGTATCTCACCTCTAGGGGGAGCCCTCTAATGGAGGGCTTGTAGTAGTAGCGGTGCAACAGTATTGAAAGACATAGACCCTCTTGTCATTTTCTTGACAGTGCCATGAGTTGTGAATTTATCCACATTAAACAAGGAAATTTGAGAATTGGGCATTTTATTGCAGTCTCAGCTATATTTTGTAACAGGGATTAGGCCAAATCTGTTTGACGCAATCCTGTCCCATTTTAGCAGGAAAACCTTTTAAACATGCAGGCAAGCTGAATGCGACCTGAACATTCTGTAACTGCCACATGGAGTCTATCATTAATGTTAAGTTTAACTCGGTATATTCCAATTTATCAATCCATCTAGGACTCACTTTACTTCCAAGTGAAAACCCAGAAGACCCACAGGGAAAGCCTTCGAGAAGGCATGGCAGGGTCTAGATGAAGTGTGATTCCATTTTGATGACTCAAAGCCTCAGTGTTGGGCCTGCTACGGGCGGCTGCTTCAACTTTGCAAAATTTCATAAAATCTGAAAATCACTGTCAACTATGTAAGGTGATAATCATTTCCAAGCAGGATTTTTTTTTAATCATAAAAGCTAGGGGTAAAGGCCCTAGATTTTGAATACAATTCTAAAGTGCAGTTCCACGGTTTACATTCCAAGTAAAATCTGGCCCTACAAGGTTACTGGCGCGATGACAATTCCCAGGGGTCTGAGGACCGGCCCCCATTGACCGCACACTGCCTGCCTAGCTCATTTCTCGGGTCCCAAGTGTGAGAAGGATATACAGAGCATGTAGAAATAGGGCGCCTTTTTATCTTCTTTAAAAACAAAAGCCAACTACTGACGGGCCCTGAGGTTTAGTGGCAGGAAACGCAGAGGCCTAAGTCTCCACCCGCGGGGTGCGCGTCCGGGGCCTCAATTTGGGGTGCGCAGGCTCGCGCACAGAGCAGGAAAGGGATGCAGGGTGGGGGGACGGGGGAGGAAGAGGAAGAGGAGAAAGCAGGAGGAGAAAAGAGCGCTGGAGGCCGCCCCGCCCCTCCTCGCGGAGCCCCGCCCAGGGCGGCGGGCCACAGGCCGCGCCCGCCGGTTCCTCCAGCCCCGCCGCCGGGGAGGGGCTTCCCGCGACGCGCCGGCCCCTTTCATCCAGGAAGTGAAAGCGACGTCGGGGTCAATGAAAACAAGCGGGGAGCCCGGGGGCGGGGAGGAAGGTGGGCGAGGGGGAGGAGTAGGAGGAGGAGGCGGCCACGCCGGGCCGCTCAGGAAGTACGAGCCGAGCTGAGGGCGGCTGCGGTCGCGATTTCGCCACCGCCGCCGCCGTAGCGACGCTCGCCGCCGCGGGGGTGGCCCGGGGATGCGCGAGCGCGCGCCTGGCGGCCCCAGAGCTCCACGCCGCGCCCGCCGTCCCGGCCTCTGAGCGGGCTGAGGGCAGCTCCGGGCCGGCGGGACCGCGGAGGGGGCCGGGCGCGCGGGGAGGGGTGGCCCAGGCCCCGCGCCACCCGTGACCCCTTCCGCGCGGCCGGCGCCGGGACAGGAGGATGCGCGGCGCCGGGCTCTGAAGCATGGAGGGCGTTCTGTACAAGTGGACCAACTATCTCACAGGTATCGGTGCCCCGGAAGGCTCTGGGGCGGGGGGCGCCGCGGAGGTGGCCGATCTATCCCCCGCCAGGCACCTGTCCCCGGTTCAGCGCTTCGTCGGTCCCTGTCTCTGTCCCGCTCTAAGACCTGCGTGGCGAACAGGGACTGGGCGACTGCGCACCTTCCTTCCCGGAGGGTGCGACGTGTCCTCGCCACTTCCCTGCCTCGAGGTGAGACTTGTGCTCGCCTCCGGAACAGTTTGCAGTCCCCCGACCTGCGTGGTTGCAACCTCTGTCCTCACTCATCCTCCACAGTCAGCGTTTTGTTTGTAAATGAGTTGTCGCGGTTATCGGACTGAAATAGACTCCTGAGGATGGGGATCTAATTTTGAGAGATGTTAGTTTCCATAACAACATTTTATTGAGCTTCATTTGTTGAGGTTTGGTCTCAGCGAACTGGATTTCGGAAGCTGACCCCGGTTATCGCATAGGGAATGGTTCCCAATGAGCTATGCTGCTGTTCGGGAATTCAGCTGTGCTCCACTGTAACTGGAGCGGGCAGGTCGGTTTCGCCCATGAGGTGGTTTGGAGGAAAGAACGCCAGAGTTAGGCGTTTCTGAAAAATGAGACACAGGAGGACATTGACAACCGGACTAGCTTATGAAATAGCCTTAGATCTGCTGTTTTTTTTTATACTGGGGATCGAACTCACGACCTCGCACTTGCCAGGGGCAGACGCTGTGCCCCTGAGCAGTATTCCTGACCCTTAAAATATGAATTTTCATCTTTGCTGTTAACCACGACTGAACGCACGTGATTTGTGGCTCAGGGTCTTAGCTGGGGTGATCAACTATTTTAGAGATGCCTCCCAACTCCTGAATTTTATCATCTCGGCAAAGTAGAGGAAGGAGAATGGGTTTAAAATAAAACTGAATAGTGAAGAAGTTTCTTGTGCAGGCATAATAGGTAAGTATTGACTTGCTGTCTACTCATTCTGCTGAAAGTATTGGCCCTTCTTAGTAATTATATGTATAGATAGTACTCTGAACTTGGGTTTACTTGACCTGGGACAAAATTCACAAGCACTTTAGGCCTAAGTAAGTGCTGAACTGTAGTTGTCCTTATCTTTCGATTAATTAGCACACTACAGTCAGATTTATAGCAGCAAAAGCTTCAATGTTTACAATACACCGTTTTTGTGTTCAAACTGAAAAGATAGACAACTTATTTCCATAAATGACAATTTTAACAGGAAACATTTAAAAAATAATTTAAAAATATTTTTTATTGAGGCTTTTCATTTGGGTGGTAGTACAATTAACCTGTTTGGCTGATGTACTGTAGTGTTTATTGAGACAGGCGTACATGCTTTGGGACACAGATGATCACCCACTTGGAAATACTCATAAGCATGGTGTTCTGGAAAGTCATGTCAGAGGAACCATTTATTGGTAGCCCAGAGCATTTGGCAAGTACTGAGATGAGTCATAATTGATGATGAAATTCACTTGGGGTGGAATTTTTCTGGCAGTTTCCTCATCTCCTATGGTACTACATTTTATCTTCTTGTTGAGCTTTTAATTACACATGTAGGTTTTAGTTTTTGCAGAACATTTTAGTTGACTTGTACAAAGCAATGTAGAACTTGCTGAAATGTAGCATTTTGCTTGGAAGTTTTCAGAGTTTAAATTTGGCTTCACAGTATGCTGATTATTAATTTTAGTTTATTTCAGGTTGAGTGTAAGTGATCTGTAAGGCATTTTCATGTGTAAGATAGTGTTTGGTTTGGTTCTTGACTTTGTATTAGGGATTGAACCCAGGGCCTCTAGCATGCTAAACAAGTGTCCTGTCAATGAGCTACATTCCCAGCCCTTTTAAATTTTTTGACACAGAGTCTTGCAAAATTTCCCAGGCTGCCTTAAAACATGTGATCCTTCTGCCCTAGCTTCTCAAGTAGCTGAGGTTACAGATGTGCATCACCATACCCATTTTATGATAGTGTTGTTTGAGAATATTTTGTAGAGTAACTTTCAGTAATATTTGGTAGTTTAAAATCAAAAGAATTATCTTTAAAAAAATTAGAAAGGGAAAAAATTTAGAAAGGGGATAACTTATGAATCTTTTTTATAGATACAATCCTCTTCTGTAAGTATATAAATCAATTAGAAATTGTTATAGTAAATACTTCAAAAATTATATAAAGATAATTAAGATTTAATTAGATTGATAGTCAACCATAATCATTTTTAATTTGCTTAAAAATTTTAAGTGAATCTTTTTACTCAGTATTTGTTTTAAAGAAATATTGAATTGCAGTAGTAGTGCATGCTTGCAAAATCATAATTTATCTCACAGGCTGACTGCTCTTAGGGAAGAAAATACATTTTCACCACACCTTCTCTATATAATTTGTTTGCTGAAGTGAATTC